AGGAGGGAGGAGGGAGGAGGGAGGAGGGAGGAGTGAGGAGGAGGAGGAGGAGGAGGAGGAGGAGGAGGAGGAGGAGGAGGAGAAGGGAGGAATGTGACATCGTATGCCCTGAGGGAGGAGCGAACTGGGAGGAGAGGCAGGCAGACGGAGGATGGCCCTCCGCTCCCGCTTGCCCTATACCCACCCCTGCTGGCCAACTGGCGGGCGTTTGGCCCGCGCAGCGGGGGCGCGCAGGGCATGGACAGCAGCACCAACCCGATCATGTCTGTGATGAGCTCGCTGGCGGCAGGCGCGGGGGTGGGAGAGGCTGCGTTGAGACTGGGTGCTGCTGCTTCCCGGGCTGAAGCTCTTAGGGGAGCCGCGGGCCTCCTCCTCCTCCTCCTCCTTCCCGCTTCCTGTGGCTTTCGGAAGCATGTGGCGTCACGCAAGAGGGGGGGATGCAGTGGGGACATCTGGCAATTGCTGCAGTTGGGCCCCTGATGGGTGAGTCAGGGCTTCCTGGACGAGGTCGCTTCCGGGCAGAAAGCGAAAGGGGTGGGGGCGCCGCAGAACAGAAGGTCCCGTGGGCCAGGTTGCCAGGTGTGGAGGCTCCAACGAGGGGCCCGTGCGATGAATGGAGAGGGGGGAGGTCCTTAAGACCGGGCGTCTAGTCGGGCGAGGATGTCAGTGGTGGACGCACAGACGATGTCGGGCCCGGGCAGCAAATGGAGGGGTGTGGGGGATCAATCACGACAAGGGGGCCAGTTAAAGCGAGGTCGGATTTGGGCGGGAAGCTTGCTGGGGTGTGGGGTCCGGGAGGCCAGACGTCCGTGGGGCCAGGATGTGAGATGTGGAGGTGGAAACGGAGACAGGTCTGAGCAGACAAGTTGAGGGGGCGGGCGGGTGGACAGATCTGGGCAGAACTCCAGGGGACCAGGATGTCAGACGCGGAGGGAAAGCGGGGATGGATCATAGCGGGGAGTCGGGGATGGTGAGCGAGGTGAGGGCATTGATATTGGAACGGGGCCGGGATGTTGCGTGGGTGGGGAGTTTGCTGGCGGGACTCACGGGTGCTGGCGAGGAGGGGCGAAGAAGACGGTGGAGGGAGGGAGAGAGAATTTTGAGTGGAAGACCCAATCTAGTTTCATACGCTCGCTTCTACAAGCGCGGGAAGCGAGTACTAGATGTCGTTCACACAAGGTGGACGGCTCTGTGCAAGAGTTTCTTCGCACACACCTTCGGGGTCGTCGGATATTTGGGTTGTGCTAATGGTGAGAGGAAGTCGAAGGCGTTTCAGGGGCTATTTGATATTATAGGCGGTCTACGGGTACAACGGCCTTCTACCCGGGTGCTGGGGACTGACAGGAGGGAGGAGGAGGGGGGAGCAAGTAGTTGGAGAAGGAGAGGAGTAGGAGCGGTAAGCTTTTCCGTTGGGCACTCAGCGGCACATTTTTTTGCTTGATTTTCTTGTCGCGTCCTCTGTGTTGACGAAGGACTTGGGCGTGCTGAGCCCAGGCAGCGCCTTCCGCGTCGAAGAGAAGGGTCATCGGGAGTGGGACGAGGAGGCGCGTGTGTGATAGACTAAGTATGGTCTCTTGTTCGCAGCCGCCAACGTGACTGGCACGAGGTGGGCGACAAGGAGGAACCGTAATTGTTTGACGCGGGACTGTATGCGATGCCGAACATATTGCGAACATGTCGCACTCACTCTCTCTCTCTCTCGCCCTGTTTGCCCCACTGCGTACCTCTGGTACTCTGCATCTGTATCTCCCCTCCTCTGCTTCCATCTCCGGTCCCCTCCTTCCTCGGCGTTCGTTTTTGTTTGTCTTTCTTGTCTCTCTGTGTATATATATATATCCCTTCTTCACGCACGAGCTTGCCCACCCCCCTGTCTTTTTCACTCTCTCTCTATCTTTCCACATTGTCGGTCTTGAACCTCCCTGTTTCTTGCCTTCGTGTCACCGGGTCTCCCCACGGCTTCGTTCCCCGCCCTCCCTGGCTTCTTTCTGCGTAGACTCAGCTGGTGGCTTTTCTCTTGCCATCTTCCCCGCTGCCCTATTCCTCCCGTGTTGTTCTAGTCTTCGCAGTTGGCTTCAGCGAGGTACTGGGCTGCCCAACGCATTCATCGGCGGGAAGGACACGTCCGACAGAGGTAGAAGGAGAGAGCGGCACAATCCGCGGGATCCGTGGGGTGACATGCCCTTCTACTGCCAGCTGACGAAGATTTGCACCTACACGGCCCAGGACATGCGCGAGCACATGCGCGGAGGGGCCCCGGGAGCTAAGGGTCGGGATGGCAGCCGGCTCGGCTGGAGGGATGATCATAGGAGGCAGCTGAGGTATATACTTAGTCGGGCGTGCTCCTCTACAGGAGGAAGATTCAAACAGGCAAAACTTGATCTGGCAATTTTGGCGTATTCTTTTGACTATTTTCAGTTTTTGCCCACAAATCCGCCCGTAGGTGGACGTGCCCGACCCAAGTATATCGCGGAGGCCAAGGAGGGGGAAGACGGATGAGGTGGCCAGGGAGGGGATGGGAGGAGGTGCAGCACGAGCGAGAAGGATGAGGAGTCGACTGCGTGGAAGAGTGTCGGGTATAGCCAGGACCCCAAGTAAGGGGACCCGGTTAGTAGTAGGGCCCTGGAGCCCCTAAAATTGCCAGAATCACTGAACCATGTCTGCCGTAGCTGGTGTTTTTTCGGGTGGCGGCAGTTCAGGTTAGTGGAACGGGCGGGGGGGTCGCCCCCCAGTGCACATCACTAAACCAGGTCCCACTAAACCCAGTTCTGCCAACGCCCGAGACCTCTTGTGCGGGCTCACTGGGTCCCCCCCCCGGTCGCTGAGCGAGCGCGTTGCGATAAAGCAGCGGCCTGCGCGCTTGTGTCTGGCCCCCCCACGCCCCCCCCCCCCGAAAGCCGGGCACCGAAGGTCACCCTTGCCCAGGGTCACTCTTGCGTGTAGGCGAAGGAGGATCGGACCGAACGAAAGGGGGGGATAGGGAAAGGGGGAGTACGAAATCTGCTGCACGCAGCTGGTTGCGGCCCCGCCGCCGGGCCCACTCCTCGATACATGGGCGCCTCCCGGCGCCGGGAGGCGCTTGGAAAATCAGCTACTTGATCTGATTGTCTACCCTACCCTATGCCATCTCCCCCTTTCGCTCCCTCCGAGAGGACGAGGAGGGCCTGCGGGCGGACGAAGGCTGCAGATGTTGAGGCCGAGGCTGGTGTTCAGGGAAGGGAGTCTCGCGGTTCGGGCTGAGGAGGAGGGAGGCCTTCGGTGCAGGTGCGCCTTTGCACGTGCAAGTGCGCCTTTGCACGTGCTCGGCGGATGGCAGCCCAAGGGGGTCCTCCTCCTCCTCCTCCTCCTCCTCCTCCTCCTCCTCCTGCTCCGCCTCCTCCTCCTCCTCCTCCCCTCCTCCTCCTCCTCTCCTCCTCCTCTCCTCCTCCTCCTCCTCCTCCTCCCTCCCTCCTCCTCCTCCTCCTCCTCCTCCTCCTCCTCCAGGAGTCGGCGGCGCTCCCGGGGGGGGGGGAGGTGAGAGTGGCCAGGCTTTCCTCTCAGAAGGCGGCGGGGCTTCTCAGGGCCAGTCTTCTGAGAGGCCTCCTGTCTCCTCGGAGATGGCTTCGGCAACTTCTCAGAAGGCCGGAGGGGCCATCCGAGCCTCCAGAGAAGGGCCGCCCCCTCTGACCTGCCCCCTGGACTCGCCGCCGAAATAGAGGCAGAGGAATGGGAGAGTGGCGAGGATGATGTTGATGATGATGACGATGATGATCATGATCACGATGATCATGCTGATGATGACGGTGACGATGATGATGATGATGATGATGATGATGATGATGATGCTGCTGATACTGGTGATGATGCTGATGCTGCTGCTGATGCTGATGCTGATGCTGCTTATGATGATGATGAGGCTAATGTTGACGCTGCTGCTGAAATTGATGATGGTGGTGGATCTGATGATGACGATGACGATGACGATGCCGATGACGATGATGCTGCTGCTGATGATGATGCTGATGATGATGAGGATTATGATGATGATGGTGTTGGTGGTGATGATGATGCTGAGAATGCTGATGACGATGCTGATGATGCTGATGATGGTGGCGGTGGTGATGATGATGCTGATTCTGATTATTAGGCTAATGATGATGATGCTGATGAGGATGATGATGATCATGATAATGACGTTGATTATGATGATGCTACTCCTGCAGATGATGATGATGATGATGATGATGATGATGATGATGATGACGATGATTATGATGATGCTGATGATGATGGTGGTGGTGGTGATAATAATGATGATGCTGATGCTGCTGCTGATGCTGCTGCTGCTGATGATGATGAGGATGCTTCTGATGGTGATAATGATGCTGATGCTGATGCTGATGATGAAGGTGACGCTGATGCAGATGATGATGACGATCATGCTGATGATGCTGATAATGATGATAATGGTGACGTTGTTGGTGATGATGATGTCGATGATGACGATGTGGATGGTGATAAGGATGATGATGATGCTGATGATGAGGATGATGACGCTGATGCTGATGCTGATGATGATAAGGATGATGATGATGATGATGATGATGATGATGATGATGATGATGATGATGATGATGATGATGATGATGATGATGATGATGATGATGATGATGATGATGATGATGATGATGATGATGATGATGATGCTGCTGATGATGATGATGATGATGATGATGACGCTGTTGCTTATGCTGCTGATGATGACGACGATTATGATGCTGGTACTGATGATGCTGCTGCTGATGATGCTGATTATGATGGCGATGCTGATGATGATTACGATGATGATGATGCTGATGATGATGATGATGATCATGATGATGCTGACACTGATGATGATGACAATGCTTTTGCTGCTCATGATGCGGATGATGCTGATGATGATGATGATGATGATGACGATGCAGCTGCTCATGATGCGGATGATGCTGCTGATGCTGATGCTGATGATTTTGATGATGATGATGATGATGATGATGCTGATGATGATGATGATGATGATGATGATGATGATGGTGGTGGTGGTGGTGGTGGTGGTGGTGGTGGTGGTGGTGGTGTGATGATGATGATGATGATGGTGATGACGATGATGATGCTGATGATGCTGATGCTGATGCTGATGCTGCTGCTGATGATGATGATGATGATCATGATCATGATCATGATCATGATGATGATCATGATCATGATGATGCTGGGGGGAGGTGGGAGGCCTGCGAGAGGGAGGGAATAGGCGACCTGTACCGCCGGCTCGCGAACAACACCCCGGGCTGGCACGACTCCGTGGACAAGAAGGAGCCGCCCCGTGCAGCCTGCGCCTCGAGAGGCGGCGGCGGAGGAGGAGGAGGAGGAGGATCCTGCAAGATCCGGCGGTCTCTGGCTGACCCCCGTTTGCTTGGACCCCTGGGGAGGGCGGAGGAGGAGGAGGTGGAGGAGGAGGAGGAGAAGGAGGAGGAGGAGGAGGATTCCGCCGCAACATACAGACACGAGCACCCTCCAATGGTCTGCTCTTGGAGCTCAGTCACGGGCCACATGCGAACCCTGCTCTAGCACCCCACGATCTCTAAGCGGGGAGGTGGGGTAGGGTTCGCATGTGGCCTCCTCGGAACTCCGAACTCGGGTGTTCTCGAATAGATGCCAGAGGGCATCATTGCCGGAGGTGTGCACTACGCTGAAGACGCCATGCAGACCATGTGGCCTTCTGGTCAGGGGAGGGTGGCGGTGCATAAATCTCCACTGCCAGCGACTTGATACAACGCTGCCCTCCCTGAATGTACGTGCACAAAATCGTTGGAGGGTGCCTGGGTATACATGTATGTATGTATGTATGTGTATACCTATATATATGTATGTTTATAAACCTATATATAAATATGTGTATATATATGTATTCGTGGCGTTGGGGGCACCTGGGCCTCTCGCTCCGCCACCTGCTCCAGGAGGGCGGAGCGGCGGGGGGGGGCCGCAGGATGACACGCCTGTCGTTTAGAGTAGGTATAGTTTGTGGATTTTCAGATCCCGATCTGCCTCTAGCGCCTTCTTACTTCAATGCAGTGGACACCCATGCCAAGCAACACCCTGCTTGCCTCCAGGGTGCCATGGGTTTCTTGGTCTCTATGGTTTTGCCATGGAAGGCGACGTCCCCTCGCCAAACATCAATGGACGTCATGGGGTCTCAGGATTGGGTTTCTTGTGGAAGGTTTCTTGTGGACCAGCCTCCATTGTAGCGACTTCCTACTTCAAGAATCGGCACGGTCTTGATGTGTTTTGTTATTCTCTGGGAGGGCCTAAGCCCAATCTACTCTGTCCGCCTTCCTGCTTCGTGTGTTCACCGACTTCCACTCTCAGGTGCTGACTCGTCCGCCCCCGAGTGGCCTGTTCTTTGCCCCCCCCCCCGCGGCCGCCCGCCTCCCCCCTTTTTCCATCTCTTGCGCGCTGGCCGACTCGCTGTTCGGTGCCCCCGACTGGCTCCCTCGCTGGTGCAGCCAGCTCTGCCTCGCCGCCGACGGAACATGCTTTTGTTGACTCCTTCCAGCCGACGTGCCGTGGGGGGAGGGGCCCCCCAGGAGGCTGGTGGTCAGGAGGGAAAAACACACAGACGCAATGAATCGTCGACTCCCAGGAAAAGATGGGAAAATATGGGAATTGGGGGGGAAGACAAAAACCCAGAACATATGGGAAAATATGGGGGATCCTTTTATATGTGTCTATTTATTTGTGTGTCCCAGGGCCCCTTCAGGTAGGCTGGGTCGAGGGCTCCCGCTGCCGCGGGTCCTCCTGCGGCCTCCGGGGGCAGGCGCCGGCCCCTCTCCTCTCCGCCTGCCTCCGGAGGAGCCGTATCTGGCTGCCTCGGCTGAGGCGCTCGGCTGCTGCCCTGGAGCGATATGCTGCGCCGGGGGGGGGCAGCCTGCGCGGACCCACGGGAGAGGGCCCCAGTGCTGCTGCCGTGGGCGCCCTTCCCCTGCGTGCTCTCGGACCCTGTGCTGCTGCGGGGTTCCATCGGCTCAGGTTGTTCGGCCGAGCCAGCCCGAAGTATGCCACTGCCCCCATCATGCCTGTGTGGTTTAGCTTGTGTTGTCCTTTCTCTTGATTGCTCATTTTGTCAGTCCTGTGCCATCCTGAATCGATTCAGTTTACAGTATTGCCCTTGTCTTTGCCCCACCCCTTGTACTTGCCCTCCGTATCAGCCAGGCACGCGCCCACCCCTTGTACTTGCCCTCCACAAGGAGATTTTGCCCCCCCCCCCCCCCCCCCTTTGGCTTCCTCTCCAGCCTCGGAAAGTAGCGCAGGTTTCGGCATATAAGGAAATAGTTCACCGCAGCGACATCCGTTTTCTGAGCCTGCCACGTACGTCTATTATGCAAGCACAGTGCGTACACACGAGGTCGCGTCCTGGCGACGACATGGCCGCCTCTTTAAGCGACGATCTGGCACCCTTGGATTTGGCTCAAGGAAGACCGGTACGTGTGTGCATTAGGCACGGGTTGGTACGTTGGCATGGCCTGGGCGTGTCAGAGATCACTTGTGGAGGGCCTCCCAAAGCTCCAGGTATTTGGTCTCGAGTCGAGGTGGCTTGAACCATCCATTTTAGCAATGGCCTCTTCTTATTCCTCTTGCTGCTCATCCTGCTGCTCCCTCCATCAACAGCAGACACGCAGGATCTCATCCACGACCTCGACGAGTCCGACAGGGAAGCTAGAAGGCACCTCGGCCTCCCTGACATCATGGCGGCTTGGAGAGGAGGGCCGGTACGCGGGTCGGGAGTATCCGGAGGGGTACAGCCGAGTCTTCTAGGTAGGTCGACCCTGCCAACTCAAGGGTTCCCTGCTGCCGCGTGTCTCGCGCGACCCATGCCTTTGCATTCCCGTGGCAGTGTGGCCCTCGGAAGGATCTTGTGTCCTCTCGCGCGCCCTCTCCAATCAGCCCCGACTCTATGAGCTCGCGGTGCTGTGAGCTGGGTGAGGGCGAGAGGGGGAGGAGGAGGAGGAGGAGCAGGAGGAGCACGAGAAGGAGGAGGAGGAGGAGGAGGAGGAGGAGGAGAAGGAGGAGGAAGAGGAGGAGGAAAGGAGGAGGAGGAGGAGGAGGAGGAGGAGGAGCAAGAGGAGAAGGGGGAGGAGGAGGAGGAGGGGGTGGAGGAGGAGGAGGAGGAGACCGCCGGGACGCTGCGGGGCGTGACGGCCCTTGGACCTCGGGCCCGCCCTGCTGCGACGCCTCGGGCGCCGGAGCCCTCCGAGCCCTCAACGCTCGGGGCCCAGGAGGCAGGGGCTCCTCCTCCTCTCCTCCTCCTCCTCCTCCTCCTCCCCTCACCCCCCCTCCTCCTCCTCCTCCTCCTCTCCTCCTCTCCTCCACTCACTATCCTCCTCCTTCCTCCTCCTCCGCCCTCCTCCCTCCTCCCTCCTCTCCTCCCATCTCCTCCTCCTCCCCCTCCTCGTCCTCCTCCTCCTCCCCCTCCGCCCGCCCCAGGAGTCCATGCAAACGGGGGTCAGCCAGAGACCGCCGGATCTTGCAGGATCCTGCAGAGCCAGGGCTGTATTCACCCGGGGCTTGGGGGCAGGATCCTGCATGCTCTTGCAGGATCCTGCAGAGCTTGACTGACCAGGGTCTGGATTGGCCCAGGTCCGTGCTCGGTGATTCAAGGATGGGGTCCTGAGGGATGGGGTCCTGAGGACAGGAAGGGACCCAAGGGAGGATCTACGCTACTTGCGGCACCTCGTCCTTAGGACCCCATCCCTCAGGACCCCATCTTTTCACCGCCCACCAAACCACCCCAACCCTACCCGAAGGGGGTGGGGCCGCGGGGAACACGGACAAAAACACACATGGAACCCGTACCCCCCCAACCCGACATTCGGGTCTTCGGGTTGGGTTGGGGTGGTCTGGTAGGTAAAGTGCCGTTTTTAATACATGCGCCGCGTGCGGATCATGTATAAACAATACAGGAATTTAATATTAAAAACAACGAGGAGTTCATGCATACATTTTATGCATAAATGACTCATGTATTAGAAATCATTGTTTTACCCTATGTGTTAAAAACTGCCCTGTAGTCATCCTTGAGCCGCCGAAGTGCGTCGCCGAGACGCGAGCCTCCCCAGGACGCTGCGCGACGAGGCCCGGCACGGTGGCGGCAGGGCACGGCCCGCCGCCGCTCTGGCGTGCCGGGGCCCTCCGCGCCGGGGCCCTCCCCGGGTCGGCGGCGGGAGCCCACGGCTCGAGCGCAGTTGTTTTGTTTTTTGCGGAATGGCGAAGCCCTTCCTTCCTCCGTTTGGCAGTTGGGCTTTTGTAAGCCCGTTGGCAGTTGGACTGCCGAGATTGTTGTTGCTGAGACCGTTTTGTTTTTTGTTGGAGTCCTCTCCTTGAGCCAAGCGGTTTCAGTAACAACGATCTCGGCTCCAGACGTGTGAAACCCTGCAGCCCTCCTCGAGGCCGCTGTGCAAGCTAGTGGACTCGTCAGCCCACCACATCAAATTACACAGTACTATACGAACCCCCTCGGCTCCGGCCCTCCGCGCCGGGGCTCTCCCCAGGTCGGCGGCGGGAACCCACGGCTGGAGCGCATTTTTTTTGTTGTTGTTTGTTTTGTTTTGTTTTATTGTTTTGTTTTTTGTCTTCGTGGCAACATCTGGGACGCACAGGGACATACGGATCCTGTATGTCCTCCTTAAAGGTGCGCGTCCAGCACGAACATGCAGTGTACCCATCTCGTAGCATATCGTTTCCCGAGTTTCCCGAGCGGTGGGGCCAGAAAGCGCCCGCCACGACGCATGTACTACAAGATTTCTCGGTGCGCGCGTCGCCTCTGGGGGGGCGACGCACATATAGTATAAGTACGTTGGGGTGACGCCGAACAGCAGGCGTTGTCCTGGGGGAAGGGGGGGGGGTATGGCAGGGTTCCGATGCTCGTTTTGGGGGACCGTCCTGGGGCCCACCTGACGGATCGGTTCGACTCCAGCTCCTGGTCGACTCCAGCTGGAACTCATGTCGACTCAGGTTCGACTCAGAATCGACTCCAGGCGACGAACGTTCGACGCAGCTTCGACGCACGAGTGGAGCGAGTGGATCCAAGAAGGACCCCAGAATGAGCATTTAAGGAGGGGGCAGAACGTAGCGCCCCCCCCCGGCTGTGGTGCCGGACACACGGATGCAGTGCCGGGGGCGCAGTGATAGGGGGAGAGTTGCTTTATGGGGAGGGGAGGGGGTGGTGGTAGGGGACATAACGCGCGTTACGGCCCAGAGGGTAAACAACAACACTCCTCGCCTGGACGGAAGCGTCTCAAAGGGAACTCGCGGACATCGCCGACGTGGGGCAGAGAGGCAGTCGCCGTGAGGCGGGGGGGGGCGAGGAGGGAAAGAGGGAGGAGGAGGGCTGGCTGAGAGAATTCGGACGCAACTCCTGGTTGGTCAAATTCTGACGTTGCCTTGGTCCCAAATCCGGCTCAGTCCGGCTTGCTCCCGCTTCAATCCCGCCTCATCCCGCTTCGTCCGGCTCAGTCCCGCTTCGCCTGCGGCCCAATCCGGCGTGGCAGACCCCCAGTGCTTACCCCAGTGGGTCGTACCTAATTCTCCCTGATCCTTCCGACGAGGACCTCCCATAGGGGGCCACATGCGAACCCTACCCCTACCCCCCACGATTTCTGAGGGGGAGGGTGGGGTTCACTTTGTTCGGGAGCTCCCGAGCGAAGTGAACCCCACCCTCCCCCTCAGAAATCGTGGGGGGTAGGGGTAGGGTTTGCATGGGGCCCCCTATCCCAGCAGTCGCCCCCAGTGAGAACAGCAACTGTTTTTTGGGCTGTCGGCGGGGAAGTGGCAGCCGAGGCCAGGCCTGGGCGGAGCGGGCGGAGGGCGGCGGGGCCAATCGTGCTCTCGGACTGCTTGCTTCGGGAGCGCACGCAGGGGTCGTGCTCGGTTCGGGTGAGCTGGTTAGTTCAGGAGGGGGAAAAACGCACAGACACAAATAATCTTCGATTCCCCAGAAGATATGGGAAAACATGGGCAGTGGGGGGAAGACAGAAACCCAGAAAATATGAGAAAATATGGGGAAGCCGGTAATTTGTGTGTAGTTATCATCATACCTACCGGTGTGATCTCGCACTGCTTTATTTCGACCGACCGTGCGCTCTGCTGGTCGTCCTGCTGGTGGTCGTGCTGGTGGTCCTGCTGGTGGTTGTGCTGGTGTTTGTGCTGCTGGTTGTGCTGGTGGTCGTGCTGGTCGTTGTGCTGGTGGTCGTGCTGGTGGTGGTGCTGGCTGGTCGTGCTGGTGGCTGGTCGTGCTAGTGGTCGTGCTGGTGGTTGTGCTGGTCGTCGTGCTGGTGGATGTGCTGGTGGTCGTGCTGGTCGCTGGTAGTGGTTGTGCTGGTGGTTGTGCTGGTGGTTGTGCTGGTTGTCGTGCTGCTGGTTGTGCTGGTTGTCGTGCTTGTGGTTGGTGGTGCTGGCTGGTCGTGCTGGTGGTCGTGCTGGAGGTCCTGCTGGTGGTCGTGCTGGTGGTCGTGCTGGGGGTCCTGCTGGTGGTTGTGCTGCTTGTCGTGCTGGTGGTTGTGCTGGTGGTCGTGCTGGTGGTTGTGCTGGTGGTCGTTCTTGCGGAGGTGCTGGTGGCCGTGCTGGTGGCTGGTTGTGCTGGTGGTCGTGCTGGTGGTTGTGCTGGTCGTCGTGCTGGTGGTTCTGCTGATGGTCGTGCTGATGGTTGGTAGTGGTTGTGCTGGTGGTTGTGCTGGTGGTCGTGCTGCTAGTTGTGCTGGTTGTCGTGCTGGTGGTTGGTGGTGCTGGCTGGTCGTGCTGGTGGTCGTGGTTGGTGGTCGTGGTTGGTGGAGGTGCTGGTGGTCGTGCTGGTGGTCGTGCTGCTGGCCCGGTGCTGTTGGCTGGGCCTGCTGCTCCCCCTTGTGCTGGTGGTTGTGCTGCTTGTCGTGCTGGTGGTCGTGCTGGTGGTTGTGCTGGTGGCTGGTCGTGCTGATGGAGGTGCTGGTGCTCGTGCTGGCGGTCGTGCTGGTGGTCGTGCTGGTGGTTGTGCTGGAGGTGCTTGTGGAGGTGCTGGTGGCCGTGCTGGTGGCTGATCGTGCTCGTGGTCGTGCTGGTGGTTGTGCTGGTCGTCGTGCTGGTGGTTCTGCTGGTGGTCGTGCTGGTGTCTGGTAGTGCTGGAGGTACTGGTGGTCGTGTTGGTGGTCGTGCTGGTTCTTGTGCTGGTGGTCGTGCTGGTGGCTGGTCGTGCTGGCGGTCATGCTGGTGGTCGTGCTGGCCCCCCGCTCCTTCCCTGCGCCCCCCTCCCCTTGCACTCGTGCTCCCCCCACCCTGGGCCTCCACAAGCGCCCTCCGCCGTGCTCCCCCCGCCCTCCCCGGGCTCCCCTCCCCTTATTCCTTCCGTGCGCCCCCTCCCCCGCTCCTCCCCTGCGCGCCTCTCCCGCCCCCGTGCTCCCCCCACCCACCCCGGGCCCCCGCGCCCTCTCCCCCGTGCTTCTCCCGCGTTCCCCGAGCATCCTTCTCTTATTCCGACCGTGCGCCCCCCCTGCCTGCTCCTCCCCTGCGTTCCCCTCTCCTTGCCCCTGAGCTCCCCCTACCCTCCCCGCGCCCCCGCGCCCCTCTCCCCCGTGCTTCCCCCGCCGTCCCAGGCCCCCCTTGTCTTATTCCGACCGTGCGCCCCCCCCCGCCGCTCCTCCCTTGCGCCCCTCTCTCCTTGCCCCCGTGCTCCCTCCACGCTCCCCGGCCCCCGCG